GTGGTAACGTTAGACCACAACATCAACTCAACGTGAATAAGATTAACAATGATGTCTACATCTGTTCTAAGGTAAGTCAACATTGTGTTTGAGGCAACATATTGTCACTTTGCTGGAAAGAAATATAAAGTTATCTTTAACATCTCTAGCTAACGTTAGCTAAAGTTAGCCTAACGTTAGCTCCTAGCTGCGTTGTTCATCATGTCACCTTGTTTGCTGGGAGTTCATTAGCCTATTTTGTTCTAGTTTTGTACTTTGGTGATCGTACATCATTGTTAGCTGTTGTCCAAAGGGCTCTAGTTAAGCTAACGTTAACTTCTGGAGCTTAGCTTCATTAACTTCTCTGTAATCGCAGAGATAACAAAGGTTGGCAAACGTTATGCTGAATGATTCAGTGTAAATACTGTAGCACCAAACTAACGGAGAGACACTCTTGGTAAAGATGGTAAAAGGCCGTTATCCCTTTCTCATATTCTGAGCCAAAAACCTTAACTTAAGTGGCATTTTAACTTGTCTTTGATGGCGACGGCAACGAGATGCGGTTCACAAGCGTGCACTGTGACCTGTAAATTTTGGCTTTTAATTTAAGCTTTTCATCTACCTTCTCAGCAATAAAATGATGAATATATCCCTCCAATACGTAGTTTAGGCCCTTTTGGTTACTTCTCAATGACATCTGATCGTTGTGTCCCCAAAAATCATCAATTGCCTCCTGTGAAATGCCGTGTACTGTGACACCTGCCATAGCACCGGTCACTGAATGTTGATAGTTTGTCCGAGTGAGTGGAGGGGGGCATGGCTTAGCCATAGGTCAATTCTCACTAGTGACAATGTAACGTGATGCTGGCTCAAGAAGTCAGTCGGTCCCCACAGACCCACATGTTAAAATGTGCAACTAAACGACAGAAATAAACATGTTCATTATTTTACAGTCTATGGATGAGTCAAAGTGCAGACATGCTTAAATCAAGAACAAAACCTGGCCATCACTTTCATGACTGCAACTTAACTTAATCATTGAATTAACACAGAGTCACAGGAAAAACATCAAAACAACTACTAAAGAACAGCATAGCATAGAGATCATGTTCTCTAGGCCTAACCAGGAGAAGCTCTGCCTAGCTGACTATTGCCTGGGTCCACACCACTGAATATGCCCACTCCACAGAGCTGACCAATTTGAATGGCACTATGACATGAAAAAACGGTTGCAAAGTTAAAATGAAAAAACATCCAATCGGTGCTCCAGGGGGCTACTGTTGTTGTCAGGCTGTTGTTAAGCATAGCCAGGTGGTGTGCCGCAACAAATGAGGAGTAATACCAACAATGGTGAGCACTATAGACAAGATAGACTCTGCAGTCAAGGCTGTTCTAAATCATCTCGTCTATCGCCAGCCTCATCGTAGTTTCACTCCATTCCGCTCTTAAATCCCCAGCAAAACCAGTTTGTTGTCATGGCTACACATTAAGTGTAGACATAAAAGGATATTAGATTAAGGCAGATACGTGGGTCTCTAGTGATTGGTTAGGGAAAATCGAATACTCCTCCCCCACAGAAATCGGTTAGATTGAAGATAGAAATAGAGTGTAATAAGCTAACAGATTTGCATGGCAAAGATGAACATATTTCCACAAATAACATTTGAGTTAAATTATAAATGGCCATCAGGAGAGGACAAGGGGAAAGTAAGAAGCCTGGATACTTCAAAGTAAACTTCCTGATGTTTTATCTTATCTTCGATCGAATAACAGCTGTGCTGATGTTCGGTACAACAGCACTTCCTCCTAATGATATTCCTGAATTAGGTAATGTTAGCTGTGTGATGCTAAAAGTTAACCCTGTCACCGTGTGTGTGCGGGCAGACTCTCACAAACTGTCCCTAGTGCAGAGCTCACACTCACACAGCAGTAGTGGGCTTATGATGGTGAACAAATCATGTATGTGTTTATTTGCATACAGAGCAGGAAAGTGAGATCCAATCCCAAGTGGTCATTCCAGATGCATATGGAGACACATTCTAAGGCCAGGTGTGAACAATCAGACTTGGAGCTGTCCACTTGTGATTGGATAACCCAAGAAGCATGTAAACACCAGGGGTCTTACACAAATAAAACTTGACAGGAGAATGTCTGCACCTGTAGGGCAACTCTGACCCATGCATATAAACATTTTGGAGGTGGTGAATTGAAGCCAAATTGTAGAAATTAAATGTGAGAGTCATCATTATAATTATATTATATTATATAATATTATATAATGAAGGCTCTGACACATCTACATTAGCCTCATATCATTCGTTACTTACAGATCCAGTTCATAATCATTCTATCCAGTGGCGTTATTATTGCCTATGCTAGTGAGCCACAACTTTTCCATAAACACCTTTCAGTTGTAGCAATTATGAGCCAACTCAAATCTCACTTCAAATTCTGACACAGGGATTAAAGTCTATCAGGTTTACTTAGTGCATGTTTGATATCTTTTAACAAGTGAAGAGGCACAGTTTGCAAACATGGGGGAACACATGAACAACAGCTGAAGCAAATGTTACAACTCCTTAAAAGAAAGTGTAATTAAGGAAAGAATCAAACAGGAGAGATACATTGATGGGAGAAATAAAGATTTGTGTCATTTGTATTGGATATTGTCCTCCTAACCCAATGATCATCCTCTTCATATACTTTGTTTCTACTCTGCTTTCTGCTTCTGTTAACCCCCCGACCAGGCCAAAATTATTTAATATTTCAGTTATTTCTTGCACTCATGTCGTTTTCCTTACACCTGATGAAACTGAGCTTTCCTGTGATCCCTGTAACCCACCTGTGGAGATCCCATCTGTCCACTGCCAACAGGCTGCCACTGTGGCGCCACAGTTAGAAGAGCTTGTTGCAGACGTAGGAGACGTGCAGAGGACCGGGACACCAGATTGTGAGCGACAACAAAATTTCCTTCTACCTCCTCCTCATCTTGACTGCGGCCCTGGAACAGCCACTTCAGACTGGGATTAAAGGTGCTTTTGAGTAAAGTCTCAGCTCGCTGCAAGGAACGGGAGATGGACCTCTGTGACCAGGAACCTGGAGAAGCAGACCAGGTGTACAGATTCTTAGCACACTGGAGAGATTAAAAGAGACAACTCACAAACAAGGATGTACAAGTCAAAGGAAGACTGGGTCAGTTATCTGGTTTAGTGTAAAGGATGGCTTACAGGTTAAATAGACTGATTCCTATGGAAGCAAAGACTTAAATATTTGAATTTTTACAGTTACTGAAGACCTGATATTGACATTTAAACACTTCTGAATTCATAGCATTGAAATATTTTGCTCTGAAAACCATGTATCTGAATTCATTTTATTTTCTCAGCTTTTGAAATTGCAAATCAAGAAATTCCATATCTTAATTTCAAAGAGGTGTCTTCAGAACAAATAAATTCAGATACATGGTTTCAAGGTAAAATATTCTAGTTTTATGAAAACGGTGGTGTTTAAATTTTAATATTAAGTTTTAATGACTATTAATGGCTGTCATAGTTTCCCAATTTCAAACAGAGGATACATGCACAGTGCGAGCTCAGACAACACATTGTTAAAATATCATGACATTAGCTTATCAATAAGCATTTTAAAATTTAAATTTCATTTAAAATTTGTTCGAGTATCAAACTCAATAGTTTTGGTACTGGCCAAAATGAAATGTTGTTTGTTATAGTATCAGGTTATAAACGCGTATGAGTTTATAGTATGAAAATCATGAGAGCAATAAGAGATGTGAGTTAGTTCCCTGCACATCAAGTTGGCTTTTAAAAGTCACATGATGGCAGGATGCAATGAGCAAAGAAAATGGAGGCGCTACTCACTGCTGAAATGATTATAAATTCATTGTGGTGAAACAGAAGGATCTTGGGAAACCAAAGTAAAAAATCTGTGTTTAAGAAAAACAGTAGACATTTATTGGTGAAGTTTAGTTTGCAGTGATATTCTATAGTTGCTGTTTGCTGGACGACAGCCTGTGTTGTATTTCTTGTTGGTATTAAGCAGTTAAGTATGTTGGCTTTTTGTGTACAACCTGCTGAAATAGTATATTATGGCAGTTACCATGTAGTACATCCTGTAGTAGGCTATGGAGTGGATTTGGACAGAGCATATGTGCTCAGTCCTGTTGGCTGATAAGACAGTTATTGGACACTGTTTTTCCAGCAGCATGCTGCAGTGTTGCACAGGATGACTGCTTTATCTGCTGCTGTCATGTTTACCATTAGTGGTCTGTTCCTCTGTCCCCACGCAGGAATTGCATCTCCTCTGAAAGACACAAAGGGTAAATTCCCCAAAATATTATTGACCAATAGTTTAGGTCCTAAAGATTAGATTAAGATGTGTTGTACCACAGGGAGAATTGTTTTCACAGCCAGTGCAACACAGAAATATTCACACACACACACGTGCGCACACACACACACACACGCACACACACACACACACACATAAACAGTACATAGAAAACACGCGCTTATGTAACAAAAAGCAACCAGAGTTATACAGGTCAATGAAAAGCCAGGTAAAGAAATAACAAGCATGTCATCTTTCTATTACACACACACACACACACACACACACACACACACACACACACACAGGCAGGTTGTTCAGGGCTGTTCTGACTTAAAGCTACAGTTGGTAACTTTTATGGAAAAACACCTTTATTTTCATACTTGCTTAAACTGTCACCATATTCTCACAGCACTACACGTGACAGATAATCTGTGAAAACAAATCATACTGCTCTGCCTGCTCTACTGCCTTGTAGCATTTCTAAAGGCCTTAGTGCATGTGAACAAAAACAATCCCTCAAAGGCAAAGAGTCTCTAACGCAGCTGTCAATCATGTCAGTCACTGCCCATGAACTGCAGTCAAACAGTCAAACTCGGTGCTGAAAACAGGTAAGCAGGAGTACCAAGCACCGCCCATCAGCCAGACCTACTTTGCTTTCATTATGAAGCACTTAATGACATTTGCTGCTCAATGGGGCCCAGCACTGTGGTCTGTAGACAGTAAGTGCTTGTCCACATAGAGAAAATTCAGCAAGTATGTCTGCTGTTTGGTGCAGGGCAGGGTAGTGTTCAGTGAGTTTTTTTTTCACTGAAACCAGCTGCCTGCTGCTGGACAGCAAAGCAATTATCTGTGCAACCACGTAACCAAGTCTATGAGCTGCAAAATGCTCAAAAGCTGCACAGAACTGCAGGGTGAAGCAGGGTGAAGCAGGGTGAATGTTTTGCAGGTTGCACTGCACTGCTTCCTTTTTGTAATGGAATGCCACTAGTAAAAAAAAAATGCTTGCTGCATCTTTTCATTGTTGTCTGGCATCCACCCCATCACCTCCTTACCCTAACCTTCCTGTGGGTACTTGCTGAAGCTCAAATAGATTCTTGGGCACAGGGAAATGGAGATCTGTGTGGGTACATGAGACCCTAAAAGTGAGGGTGGATCATGGGGATTACCACCAGTTGGTCCGGGAGCTTCACCTCCATGATGGCCGTTACTGCACTTACATGCTTCCACAGCTGCTGTTTTCTATTGAGATTGTGGTAACTGTGGGTTGTAAAGTTGTTGTAAAGCTCTGGGTATCCAGTAACCACTACCACCAGTTTCTCCACCATTGTTTACCAACTGCAAACATGTTGTGACCACCACAGAAGGCCCGCCTCTCAAATCGTCTGATTGGACAATGGGAAAAAAGTGGAGATGACTTGTGGCACTTTTCAGCTCTGAGTTGAAGCTTTTTGAGCTCGATGAGTTCAGAGCGCTCTGACAAAAATGCCAGGCACCAAGAGTGCAGAAACGCCAGGTGCGTAGAAAATGGAAAAACAGCGAACAAAAAGCTTCGTTCCCATTAAAAAAAATTACAAAAAGGCACCTCCAGCTGCTAAAACGCTTTCTGTGTGATTGGGGTGTAATTCTCCCTGGGTTCCTCAATAAAGGCAGCCCCTTAACATGACATATAATCTACCTCCATAATTGCATTCAGTAGATAGACATGGCATACATTAAAATATACATTTGTACTGTTTTTGGACCAAAAAAACCCCCAAAAACTAACCTGCTCCTTTTCAGTACAGAATGACTCAGAGTTCTCTCGATCTGAAAGAGAGACAAACAAAACCCACAATCATCAGACAACATCTTTAACAAAACAAATAACGCATCGACGCAACACTATTACCACTGGATAACCATGGTCATACAGAACATCTTGTGTATTGGCACTTCTCTTGTCCTGTGGTGTTGTGTGTTCTTGCTGTAAATGGCCAATTTCCACTGCAAAAAGACAATGTGGGGATAAGGAACCTTCCAGAAGAGAGCAAGACTGATTATTGTGTAACTTTCCAGGGCTCTTCAGGAGTCATGAAGGTAATGAAATGCAATAAGTAAATGTTAGAAACGAATTAATTGAAGCAAAGTGTTTTGAAAGGTCCTACTACCCCTATATGTTTAAACCGGAAGCACGTTTTCTGGAAACAAATGTTTTTTTGTTTTTTTTTAGTTGGTTGGAGTTTATCAATGTGTCCAATTCCACAATACTACAATAACCAGATTTTGAGTGTGTAGTCCAAACTGGATGATTGACACCAATTTAACCATTCACCGCAATTGTCTAAGTAATCCAATGAAGAACCATGTTTCTGACCTTAAGTAAAATACAAATGACTCCCAACATACTCCGCTGATTGATGGGGTTTAGGTTATTAAAACTGAATCATCTAATATTACAACCTAACCTTACACTGGATCATGGATTTGTGAAGCATGCTAACAAGCTACACAGCAGAGGAAGCACCAAGGCAGAGTCCTGCCCCAGGTCGGGTACCTGCAGGTACCTGACGGGTAACCCCCATACATATACAGTACAGGCCAAAAGTTTGGACACACCTTCTCATTCAATGCGTTTTCTTTATTTTCATGACTATTTACATTGTAGATTCTCACTGAAGGCATCAAAACTATGAATGAACACATGTGGAGTTATGTACTTAACAAAAAAAGGTGAAATAACTGAAAACATGTTTTATATTCTAGTTTCTTCAAAATAGCCACCCTTTGCTCTGATTACTGCTTTGCACACTCTTGGCATTCTCTCCATGAGCTTCAAGAGGTAGTCACCTGAAATGGTTT